CCTCCTTCGCTCGCCTGCAGTGGATGTCCACCGCCCCTTCCACGCGGCTGCCGTTGGTGAACACCCCCTCAATCGGCTCCTCATCGTCGCTGTCAAGGCCGTTGTCGGAGAAGGCGCTGGAGAAGGTGGCGCTGGAGAGCTGCCGCTGGAAAGAATTGGACAGGCAGACGGGGTGCAGCATGCAGCGCTGCTCCCCCGGGTAGGCTGGGCTGTTCTCGTTCATGGCTACCTGTGGAGGCTCGTCGGAGGCTGTGGACCCCACCTCACTGCTCATTTCGGAGGTGGAGATCTCGCTGCTGATCTCTGAAGCCATGCCGCTGCTCGAAGACGGCATCCCAAGCGCATCTGTTGGCCTGTCCTTGATGACCACGTTGACAGACTGGGGGAAAATGCCGGGGCTGGGGGGTGGGACCCCATTAAGTTCACAGCAGCAGAAGCTGTCCTCCGTCACATTGAGCTGAACCACGACAGCGCTGATACTGTCATTGCAGCCGTAACTCTGGGCCAAAGTGCAAAGCTTCTTCGCGGCTGCCAGTGCATCAGGCACGTTTCTGACTGCCTCCACTGCTTCATCCATTGAGAGGCTGTCCCACAGCCCCTTGCTCCCCAGAATGAAGAACTCATCTTGCGGAGTTAAGGTGATGGACTGGACGTGAGGACGCGGCACAACGCTTGGGTGAAGGAAGGTGTACCCCAAGATTCTCGTGGAATCCGTCACACCGTTCACTTTGCCATCCTGAAATTAGAAAGGACAGGAAATTGGAAACAAGGCAGACAAGGATACACAGCACCTGCATCTCCTTGCATTTTACTGATGGCTGTTTTTGCAGTACCCCAAACACTGCCATTTACAGACAAGAAGATGGAAAAGCAAAGTGACTTGCAAGGAGGTGACAGAACTGGGATTAGAGCACAGCAATGGTTGGTTTGCAGTCCTGCGCTACGCCGCCTACACCCCGCTGATTTGTCGTCAGCATCACCTATGCACAGACCAACAAAGCAGATGTCTGCAACAAAGAGCCATCTATTCTGCTCCTGCAGCTGCGAGAACCAACTGGACTAATGTTTTACCAGTGAGTCAGACTTATCCCTCCTCCACCCACCGTATCTGGCTTTATACAGGGCAAAGCCACACACAGCTCCATTTGATATAGGGGCAGGTCATTCAGTTATGACTCTTCTCTTGCAGCTGTAATAATCGTAGGTTTCATCTTGGCTCATCCCTTCAGAAACAAAAGTTCATTTAAAAAAAAAAAAAAAAGACTTTAAATGAAGCATGCAAGTCAAATGCAGCAGAGAGCAAGTCTGCATTTCTCAGTCAGCTGAGTTGTAGTGAAATGTTTTACATGCCCCAATTACTACATTTCCACTTAGATATGACATTTCCAAGGGGAGGAGGAGTACTATCTGAAGGGAAAACATCAGTAAAAATGGACGTGTTTGAGAAGTAAATCCCATGCATGTCCAAATCTCAGGATCCTGTCCTGGTTAGAATCCAAGCTGCCAGAATAAGCAGAGCAAGTGTCTGAAATGGCAAGCCAGGCTATCTGTCAGCCTGCTGGGGATAGCTGCACCTGCTAATTGCGTCTTCGAGACGAACAACAAAGGTGAGGATTTACACTCATTTGGTCCAGCCGATGACTGCTGTGGTTATTATAAAGCAGATAACCACAGAAAAGTGAACCAAGACTAAAAAAAGCTTCCCCTTCAAAACCACTCAAAAGAAAAAAAAAGCCTTGTTGGCTTGTTAACTTCCCCATTAGAAGGCTGACAGCAGTGATAAGCCATCAATGTGCATGAAATCAGTGAGTCATCTTAAGATTCAGTGCAGAAATTTCCCTTTTTCTCTATGGAACAACACAATGAGCGAGCCTCGGTGATGCACGCTACGTTGGAGTGACTCCCTTCCAACTTGTCACGTTCGAGATCCCAGTCGACACCTTTCCCCAGCAAGATCAATAGGCACACGACTTATTCCACACCTCCCCCATCCCCCTCACACCCTGCTCATGGGCATACAGCAGTGAGCTTTCTGCCCGTTCCTCTACCATTAGGAGGATTCAGTATATATGTATTCCTATGCATGTGTCACACAAGGCAAAGCAAAACTGACAGCAGTGGCTTCAAGCTTGTAAGAAGGGAACAAATAGTTTCCTCCTCTCTCATGGTTCAGCTGAGCACAGGATGGGTTTTCCTTTTGGGCAAGTGCCCTCTTCAAGAGCCGCCTGTCAAAGGGCAGCTCTGGGAACGTAGGAGCTCAGACAGCAAAGTCAGCCTGCCAGGAGCAAGGATTCTCCTAAGGGAAGGATGGCATCGCTCCGAGTGCATTGCCCTCTCATCCTTTTTGATCGGAGAGGCTCTTCATGACAGCTCCAACACAGCAATTCCTCTCCCCATTAGGAGGAGGGGTGTCTGCTTTCCTGCTTCAATGCAACATGCTCACAGTTGCTCACTCTCTGAAGCTAACCAAAATCCAGCATGGCTGGATGGAAAAGCAACTTGGTTGCACGATAACTTGATTGCGTGACGTGAGTCACTTTGAAAGGAAAATTGCAATTCTGGAACCCCTACCAATAACACCACCTCTTAGGGGTTACTAATATTGACATGTGATTTCATGCATTGCTGTGCAAATACTCTCCAAGAAAGCTGCAAGTTGCAACAGTCCCTAACTGTTCTCTAACCTCTGTGATAATGGCCTTATGCTGCTTAATCCTCTTCAGCTCTTCTTCACAACTCATCACGTAACACCTGGACAAAGGCAGAGGTTTCCCATTTCGGCAGAGAACAGTTTGGCACTTCCCCACATTTGCTGAGGTTAGCGTGAAGCATCCACCAGGGTCCATGGGATCATGTTTTATATGGCAAAGGACAGCAGAGCCTCCAAGTTTTTGTCCAGCTGTTCCAAGTTTCCTGGAACGTAAACAAAACAATGATTGTTCTTTCATTGGAAAACAAGTGTTACGGGTACTATGGAGAAACAGCCGCTGCTCTGCAACCACAAGCACTCAGGGCGTTGACTCTATTGGATCACTGGGACAGAAACAAAAGTCTCCACTGAAGACTGTGACACTACGGCAGCACTGCAGAGAAATCACATGCAACTCTCGGGCAGCATGTTATTTACACATATGCAGATACACCAATCTGCTCAATTTTAGAATAAAAAAATTTTGCACTTTTAAGAGTTGCAGTTTTGTCTCTTCCTCTACATTTTAAAGACGTTTGTTTTAAAGGTCAGATCGAGGGAAACAGAGAGGGTTAGAAAAGTACTGAGGACTATTAAATGAGTACAGGTAGAGCTTAAAAAGGGAGTTCACCTTATCCAGCTGGTTCTTTGGCTTCTGCAGCTACAGATTTTATTAGAATAATAATAATTCTAGCTAGAAAAATTCTGGTTTTGAGCAAAATCAGAAGGCAGAGGTTCACTGTTTTGTGATGTCTTCAGAATAATGCTCTTAAAGTATCAAATGATGACCAAAAAAGCACAGTGGCTGTTAAGTCCACTGTAAGAAGACACTTATTTATCCTGTCAGTTACTAACCTGTTAAATAGGTTTTTAGAAATATTTAGGCCTGCTGTTTTATCAGGAGGGGTCATAGCGGGGGGAAAAAAAAAAATCTATGGATAAAACTGAAGTTTTCGGAAACCTATCATTAGAATGTAAACTCATTTCAATACTAGACTGAAAAACCATCTATCCTTCCCAGTATCTTGTTTATCAGGGCCTTCTCCTATAGTAATTAGGAATTACAGTAATTAGAAAGCTAATTATAGAGGTTACTAAAATTTATATCAAGGCTAGGCATATCTGGCAAGAACTTTTGATTCAAAATCCTGGGGAGAGAATGCACAACTAAATTTGTAACCAAGCTTCAATGTACTTTTTTATTTTATTTTTTAAATACACGCTTCAGGAGTGTTGCGTATCATCTATAATAATCCTCAATGAATGGTTAAATGCAACTGGAATGAATACTATTTCTGGTTCTCCAAAGAAGTGGTTAGCTTATTTTGACTTGAGACCAAAAGAAAAAGTGCAGCTTTTTGTAGGAATGCCACATTCCTGTGCAATTGCATTAGTAGTAAACAAAACCACTTAAGTACTTTCAATACTCAAATTTGTTATTATTTTTGAGTATTTTAAGTATATGCCAACCACCTTCTCAGCTGCTGGTCTGAGGCACTGTTATAAGCAATTATGTACAAGCAATTATGGGAAGGAAGCATTTTGTCTCGTGTTTGTAAGGTTCAATACCACCCTACTGCTTCCATATCTTTCCCGACACCAGAACTTCAGTATTTTTCCTTTCCAAAGGTGCAGCAACTGAACAATAAGCAATGCTACTTTTTAACTTGATCCATTTCCTCAGTGTCTGAGCTGCTTATTTGCTTTCTCCTTTGTTTCCCTGACCTCTTCATTCTCCGTTGTCCAATTCCCCTCATACTCCTTTGCTCGGTGTCTCCCCAGGCACAATTTCTTCTTCTGTCAAGAAGAGCATGCACGCTGGTTTCCAAACCACTACACAGAACTACTATCACACTCACAGCTACCGTATCGCAATCTCTTTGAATGGGTCCTGCTCAAATTATACTCTAAGGCCAAAGGGATGACAGGAGATGGACATTTCCAAGGAGTCAGACTACATGTTTTAAATACCTGTGTAGCCTTAAATAACCTGAATTGGTACAGAGAAACAGAAAGAATCAGCCCAGGCTTTGCAGCCAGTAGTAGGAAGGAAGTTTAAAAGATGATCAAGAGATTCATACCACTGACTTGGTTATGGCCAATTGTGAATCATAAGACTTAAAGAAGATACCAGAAAACAGTAAATGTCCACCCACCACTTAGTCACGAGCATTTAGTAACTTTGCAGGTGGTGTGGTTTTTTTTTTTTGTTTGGGTGGGGAGGTGTTGGGGTGGTTCTCCCCACACCTGAAAGGAACAGAGGGCAATATCCACAAAACAAGCAATAAAAGAAAACACCGTAGCCAGCTACCAAGGCATTTTTCCCCTCTTGCATTTTTCTGAAGCAAGAAAAGAGCAGGTGTCTGACCTGAAAGCAAACAAACTGCCCAGTGAAGGTACACAAGGTAAAAAAGGCTTCAGATCCAAGACTCACCTCTGCATAACGATGAAAGTGTTGATCATGTATTCCTCCTCATTTTTTGTTTTCTGCAGCTCTTCTGCTAAGATGTCGCTCATTGTGCACTGCAGCAGATACGGCACTTCCACGTTGCGGTCACCATCAAAAACACCATAAAGTGCCTCCCGGTTGTCACAGAAGTTATTGGCTGAAAGTGCTGCCACACACAGCCTAGTGAAAAAACAAAGCAGGAGAACATCAAGGCTGTTACCCACTGCTAGTTTCTCATCTTGTCATTCTGACCAGAAAGATGCAGCCTGGTCTGAGAGCTAGTTTTAACCACCTCTGTTCACAGGCATTTCAGGACTGCTTTCTGAGCTGTGGAGAAGAGTCAGGCCTATCAATAGTGCTAAGATGCGGAGAGAACTATACTAAAAGTTCAAGCCAAGCCCTAAGGTTTCTTCCTCCTTTTCAGCATGTGAACAAGTCCCTTATTTGTAGAAATAGGGGAAAAAGTATGCCTGAAACAACATCAGTTGAAACTGCACTTGCCCCCCTGAAAGCCAGCCTTGCGATTTAACATGCCGATGACCAAGTTGTGTGTTAAATCAGTTAACAGTAAGTAAAGGCTTGCTGGCACTTGCTACGGAAACCTAGGTAGCAAAAGATTTCTAAGAAGGTATTTAAGGAACAAAGGAAGATTCATCACATTGCCAGCAACACAGAGACTAGCAGACTCTTGGTACATTATTTGTCAAGTGCTGCCTTAGTCACAGGAGCTCCGCACACTATGAATATTCAGAGCTTTGGCCATTCTGCCTCTTCCTTTAGTATCTCTGATTTGCTGTGTAAACATCCTTTGGTTGAAGATAAAGAAGCTTTGCAAAGAGGAAAACGCTTTTAAACACTTAGATCTTTTGCAAGTACCAGAGTCTTGCATAGACAAAATGTGACGGTTACACTTGTATCTTAGCAACTTCCCTAACAAAGACCAAAGTGGAGAGCCAGGCAGGGGCCCGGTATACAAATACAGAGTCATGGCATGGCCTCTGCCTTTGTGAGGCCCATAACGTCCCCAAAACTTCCACTGAAAAAGGGATTTCTTTGTATCAGCATAGAGGTGCTCCGCTGCTAGGATGCTCTTATAATAAAAACCATGCCAGGTCGTACTTGTTCTTAACGCCCGATGCTTCTGTGTAACCGTGACTCCACACCGCCGGCGCTCCCGAAGCATCGCCGGCCGAGGGCTGGTCGATCTTGAAGCAACGGATATTGCTGCAAGGAGAAAGGATAGGGGAAAGATGATGCAATGGACTGAAGTGCTGACATGATCCAGCTTAAAATGTGAAGATAACACCTTTTTCCCCCTCCCAGTTCTCAGTTATACATTTAGGAGAAGAAAATGAAGCAGGACATCCAAAATGGTTACTTTTATGTGTCTGTATACAAAGAACAAAAAAAGCAGTAAATAACTGAGCCTCTATGAGGGTGTCAGCTGCACTGTTTTGCTTAGCTGGCTTTTCTTTCCCTGCTCTCACCCCCAAGCTATTTGTTTCAAACCTGGCCCAGTAGGAATAAAAGGCAAATTTGTCACTAGCTTGATGAAAGCCAGTACAGATGAGTGATTTTTTTTAACTTATTCCTCTCTCCCACCCATTTTAACAAGTTGTCTCTGGGCTCTTTTCATTGTACTCAAATGAAACCTCCTGTATGACCCACACCATCCCCTAAATGGAAAAAAAAAAAAAAGCAGCAAAAAAGGAAAAAAAATTATTTAGAAACAAAAACATGTAGTAACAGCCTTCCATGAAAATGCCCACAAACAGAAATCTGCTCCATCCTCGTCCTGCACCAACCTGCAAGAGCCAGCCTGCGGTCCCGACAGTGAGCGCAGCCCTCCTGCCTTCCCCAATTGTACAATCCAATTTTTACTTAGGCCCTTGATACTGTACCCTCCAATTTACTACCAACATAGCCTTCAGCCTGAATTTCAAATATCTCATGCAGCGTAGTAAAGACTTAAAAAGAGCCCAGCCCTCTCTGTTTATTCTCTTCTCTTCAGAGCCCTGCTTTGCTGGGGAGAGATGACCTCCTCCCTGCTCCCTACTGCTCTCTTCCAAGGGCAGGGAAAGCGAGCTCCCCACACGCTGCAGACACTTCAAAGGCACCCGAACCTTTCATGAACCAAATGAATCATAAAAGGACACAAGCAGAAAGGTCTAACTGTTCACTCTGAGCATTCATTTTTCTCTATCCAAACCCCCACCTGACCTGAACACACAGAAAAGTCTTTTCAGCGTTGCACAGCCTTCCTCAAATAACTCGAAGTACTGTCACATCCATTTCAATTTCTTTTTACACTAATAGTCAGGATGTACACCAGCGAGGGCAGATTAAAAGCAAACAAATTACGTAAATAACATTGGAACCACTGGTGTTTTAAGCCCTTGGTTTTACAGCCCTCTGTGCGACAAACAGGAGGCAAACATCTCACCCTGAACATTAAGAAAAGATTATCTGACCCCAAATCAAACTGCAAACCTAGGTCTCTTCCAAAGTAGCAGAGATTGTAATTCTGTCTCCACCTGCAAACCACTACACACATGAGCAAACACACTTTCTTCACAGACTTCTCATACAAGGCACTTATCTTCCAGGGCAGAGGAACTTGGATCAAAAGGGGTTTTCTGCTTGTTTCTTTGTTAACTGAGTTGATTGACCTCTGGTTCCTGGGCAGGTCAAGGACCCAGAGCTGTCTCAAGGCTTCCCAGCAGTGGTGAAAAAAGCTACCTCAATGCATTGCTTTCAGCTTCCTCAGTAGCACCACTACAAATAGACCATGTGCCCGGAAAGGGATGATATCCAGCAGCACATCCTACGCAGGGAAGATGGGCTAAGGCTTCCGAACAGCACGGTTTATTTTCCCCCTAATTTAAAATGACTGTTACAATTGAACTAAACGCTCTTTCCTAAAAATCAGAGCAGCAACATTTTTTTTTTCTTTTTCATTTTAATTGCTACTGAAAATTCTTACATCCAATATATCACTTGGCAACATCCTCCTAAGCCTCCTTTAAGATCTCCATACATATTAAAAAAGCAAGCATGCATGACAGGACTCCTCACCAGCACCAAGAATACATATTAACCTACTACCTGCTTGAATCCTGCCAGGGCACAGATGGAGAGCTGCCTTTCACATGCAGAAGGAAGATATAAAAAGTACCAAGTGCAGAAGTATTTTTGTGCCTGCCACAAAAAACGAGTGAAAGGAGCACCTCCTCCCTCACAGTCAATTATAGCAGTATACCATGGAATTCAGTGTAGTATATCAGTACAGACACTAAGAAGCCCCTCAGGAGGCTTGAAGCACCTGACTGTGGCTAATAAATATTAGGGAGGAGAATAGACCTGAGGTCTTAAGAACAATTTGTTAAAAAAAACAAATAACCAAACAAAACACACACCCAAGAGGGAAAAAGTTTTCTGTGAATTAAAGACAATGCATATACCAGTGAAAAAATGGTGTGTAACTGGGCCACACTATTCTTCTACTACTTAGGACTTAGATTTGTACAATACTGCTATAGGGCATGATGCCTGAATACTAAAGTGGCAAGAGATTGGCTTGCCCATCTTGTCTGCTGGGTTATACACAAGAAAAGCTGATCTTTCACTTTAAGTTTGGACACAATTCAATTAGCTTTGTAATATGTATTTTTTTTTCCCTATGAACCAGAGCAACATTACACACTGCTTCTTCAGGAAGGTTTCCCATGTACAATAAAGCAGGCCTTAAAATAGAGGAACACCCCTTTTTTTGCTGTCTGCTGCAGAACACAGACTCTTGTTTTTAATCTGTGAGAACTCATCATTATTCTAATTTCCACTTAAATTTGATAAAACTCGCTGATTCAAGCTAAAAGCAAACTCACACTGTAAGTCTCCCTTGCTTGCACAACCGATGAGGTTTACTACTCCAGTGTCTGATCTTAACCATTTAAAAGCAAACCACATGAAGTAACTGCTCAACCCTTAAAAAGTAAATCAACCCTTCTTGGAATCATTCAATATTTAAGGATCAAAGAGACTTAGAAGGAACGTCTGAGCTGGTGCAGTTCCCTTCAGGACATAAGCAAAGCTCAAGGCAGTACCACTGTCCGCAGCTGATCTGTTTTAGTGCAACGATTGCCCAACACACAGCAGAAGGAGGCATAAGGCACTTGGCGAATTTCAGTTATGGATGATAAGTCCCAGGGCAGGAAACAAACACGTAGACAGGAAAAAAAAACAGAGGATCCCAAAGCAACGTAACTAGCTTTGCTGCAAGCAGAGTGGGAGATGAGAGTCTTCAGGAGCAGCTTAAATATGGAAAAAAAATATTTATAGGACAAAAGCAGAGAGGTATGAGAGGTAACAAGAAATGGTATGTGAAGAGGTAAAAAGGACCACAATGGCAAAGACAGAGCCAAACAGATGAATGTGAGAAAAAAAACCATAGCAAGTAGCTACTGGCATCTCAGTGGTGGAATAAAACAAGTATTTTGGTTGAATCTAACGTTGAAATAAAATGGAGATCAAAGTGGCCCAACAATGGTTATACCAGCCCACCAGAACCCTTCCGAGTTACAGCTGAAAGCAACTGCACTGAAGTGGGTAAAGCAATCATCTTTAATGAAGTATTAATTTCTGAACTACCCATACAATCTGTTACTTTCTGATACACTGACAACAGGGAGCCATACTCCTTGAAGAGATTTACACTTCTGTGTTTTGTGGTTTTGTCACATCCTAGTAACAGGAATCGCTCTGCCTCCTCCCTACTCTGTAAGGTAACTTACTTCAGCAGCTCTAGCGTTTTGTGATCCAAGGCTAATCTGGGATTTCCAGTCAGGTCCAGCTCTTGTAGTTTGGGAGGCAGGTTTTCAGGCAATGTGATTTCACTGAGTTCATTGCAGCTTAGGTCCACGCACTGCAAAAGGAAAGCAGCCAAGTAAGAAAAAGGATTCAGCCATCATCAAGATCATACACATTTTGAGTAAATGTAGTAATGCATGTTTCATGAACAATGAAGGCTGCAACCGAGGCCTAAGACCATTCATCTAGGTAAGTGGTTCTTAACAAAATAACTTCCATATGGCATTTAGCCGTCTTCCCCGATGCCTGGGACACCTAGAAATACGTTCACCCCATTTCCATCTCTGGCCAGGTGTTATCTTGTTACAAAACTAGTAAGGTGTGTCTGGTCTTCACAGAGACAAAGATGGTCAGTGTATTTTCAAGTATTTAAGAAAAAATGTTACCAATGAAAACAGTTGCCAGTCTTTTAATGGATAAAGGAAATGGAGATAGAGTTGGGGCTTCTAAGCCACTGGCATAGCAGTCCCTCCTCCGAAGTCAGTTTAAACCAGCATGAGTATGAGCATGCTCTCAGGAATTCAATATTTACTGAGGGATATTAAAATAAGCAGGGTTATAAATGCATGTGGAGGGGAGGAATAGAGGGGGATAGGAAAAAAATATTGAAGCAGTTTTAAACATAGTTTTAATTTGCACTACCTTAGATGGCTTAACGTTTAAATATGGTCAATAAAATGAGTGGAAAAAAAAAAATTAAAGCTTAAATATTTCAGAAAAAACGATACAAACCAGCAGAGAAACTTGCTGGCTATCCACCAGCTAAGCACAAATTAGCTAGCACAAGTGCACTAGAATGACAAAATCCCTAAACAAACATTGTTTAAAGTTGTGTATCCAGATGAAAGTCAATACACAGGGAAAAATATGGCTTTTTAGAACAAAACCAACTCTCCAAACCCTATTACAGGACCATTGGTGTCACATGCACCAAAAATTGGGGGGGGGGGGGGGGGGGGGGGGGGG